GTATGGCAGTCAAACGTTGAAATGCTAATTGGATATTGGGGCCTAAAGGTTTAAGCTAATGCAGTTGGAACATTGCGAGTATCCCTGTTCAGCGAGAGTGTAGTAGGTCTTTCATCTTTACTATGCTCGATGTTCAGTGCTAATTGCATTTCAAATTATATCAATATTGTATCCCTTAGAAAACACCTGTGGGCAATTCTTTCTGTATTTCTTGCTTCACTATCTTTCGTCTCTTCATGCGAAGAAGTTTTAATCACAAACGTCGGTTACCCCCAGGCGTTGCTGGCGAGCGATTTGAATTATATATAGGAAACAAAAAAAATCTCCCAAGAATCCAATTTAAAGAAAAATATGTAGTAAACTAGGTACAAAATCACGTAATTGAAAAAGAGTCACTGAGGAGGTTTTTTTCTGAAATTCAGTTTATTGTTGATTTGATACAATTGAAATCAAAGCTGATGAATCTAAAATACTTAAATCTCTAAATACACTATCTAAATTAAATGAGTATACCAGCTCAAGTTGGAAAAACCATCATTCTGGGAATTTCAGTCAGACCAGATTACAAATAAATGCAGCTTAAGGTCGTTTACCTTCTCTCATATAAGTTTCACATCAAAAAAAATATAAAGGCCTCTGGGCTGTATATTTGTCATAAATCGACCAAATATCAAATTTCCGTTCTGAAAAAGACTTCCTCCAGAGTAAACATACTGTCAGAATGGGGTGTAACGCCAAATTGGCTTCATATTAAGTGTCATAACTAATAGCCCTTTTTCAAAAACAATTGGTTTGAAAAAGTCCTAAATTTCGTGCATGGGCGAGAAAGAAAAAAGAATTCTTCCAGAGTAAACATACCGTCGGAATGGTGTGTAACATCGAATTGGCTTCATATAAAGTGTTACATCTATTGGCCCCTTTTAAAAAACGAATTGAAACCAAAAAGTCTTGAAATTCGTGAATGGATTAACTCAAATTTCGTTATCTCTACTTAACAGCTACATCAGATTATCGATTGCCGCCAATGCTTTCTACAACTTAAAAAACAAATTAATTTTAAATCATCTGAAAGATTATGGACAAATTTCTGTTCCACAGGACCATAGTTAGAAAACATCTATGGACGGCAAAACTCTAAAGATGTTTCTTTTTCTTAGGGCAGTGTAAGGATTTTTTTTTATCTGACTGCACGCAGTGTTTCGTAGCATTCTAATCATTGACCAATGGAGCCTCCCACTTATTCCTTTAGCAAAAATGTGTGATCGCAAATGGAAAAGATTGTGCAATGTCTGATAACTCATAGCCTTAAGGACAGCCACAGTGTTTTCATTTTGCATTTTTACTTTTATAAGTAATTGAGCTGGATGAATATGGCAGAAAAGGAATCAATTTCGATTCACTGATGAAAAAAAATAAGCCTAAAGGATTGTCAAGATAATAAAAATACAAATATGTGGTACTAAACTCGTTAAATGCAAGAGAAAATTATCAACAAATAGCATATTTCCGGACTTATTTTGATGTCAGATTGCGTCCACTCTCCAACTAATTAAAAGATATATCCTAAATTGTAAGTCCTGAATCAATATTTTCTGCTTTTCCAGATTATTGTTTCATAAACAAGCGAGAAAAAAGAACTATGATGTCATCGATTATTTGCATAAATTGTTGTCGACAGTTTCTAGTAGCATTATGGGATTTTAGTTGTTCTTTTGAACAACTTGAGCTCGCTAAGCTCACTTTCAAAGGCAATTTTTCAGCTTCAAAAAGGATTGACTCTCAGAAAAAGCATTGAAGCTGCATCGCTCATAAGAAGAAACACAAAGCGATCCTAGAGAGATATCTAGCACAAGTAAAATTTGCAAGACAAAGATTCATGAAACCTTCGCCTCGGAGTTCGCTCTGCTGATTGGTAAGATCCAATATTAAAATGTGTTTTGCACATAATATACGATTAGATTTAATTCATTTAATTCAAATCGCTTTTATTTCGATGATTCTATTCTAGTTAGATGATTTCAACTGATATCTTGCAGATTTCATCCTTAAACAACTGATATGTAGAATTGTCACCCGACGACACATTTTTGTTAGCGACACATTTTCCCTCATGATTTCCTACTTTTCCATAAATGTCGTATATTTACTTTCTCACAGTCTGGTAATTTGCTACAAAGGACTGTATCTTCTCATTATTTTGATGTGAAAAAAATCTTGAAATAATAAATTCCACGATGAAGTAAATCATAAAAGTCAATTAATATAGAAAATTGAAGATATTAGTGTCACTTTCAACGCGTGAAATTTCAGGAAAGATTGGATGCCCAGAGACGAAAATTCGTTCACATATTTTATCAACTAATCATGAGCAAACAAGAACATGGCGAAAGCCCCACTGGCACATGTCAGTGAACAAAGAATCGCAAGCTTCCTATTTACACAGATGAATATGGCCATCATCATTTATATCTTTACTTGCTTATAATCTGTCTTTCGCCTCGAAGTGAATGAGCATATTGAATATTTAGCGACTTCCATTACCATGATTTTGGTTGCATACCTTTTTCGAGCCTTTGATCCTTTATTCAGGGGTTTCGCCATAAATTGTCTCTTATCGAGAGGTATTCCTCGATCAACAGAATGAGCTGTCGTGATTAGCCCAAACCCAGATATGCTTCCCGAGTTCCGTAACTCAGTAACTCAAGTTCCATAACTCAAGTTCAAGTTCAAGTTCCGTAACTCAGTGTCTGCACACTTGTCTGCATACTAGCACTGAAATAGTCTTTTACTCTTAACGTTTTTATTCCATGTCTTCAAAGTTTATTCGTCGCTTCATCGCGCTTTGTATGGAATCATTGTTTAATTTTTGTCAAAGATGACGTTATATCGGTTACGAATGGCACGTTTATGTTTACAGCTAAACATTTTCATGGCAATAAAACAAATTTAAAGCATATATGTAAACTAATGAAGATCAGCTAAAATGATAATACACCTTTTCCTTTCGATTAGCTGTTCGATTTTCTTTTGTCCCGTCCACTATTAATAGCAAAATTTAAAGTTCCTATGGCAACCCTCCTTTTCATTAAAACGAAATATCTTTATTTCGATATTTGTTAATCAGTTTACTTAATCTCATTTCTTATTTCCTTTTAATAAACATGATTAAATTCACAAAAATTCACATTCAGTTGCTAGGCGATGGTAAAGGATCAACTGTTTTCGAGAAGAGTGTTTTGTTGCGAGTCAAGAAAAATATTGGTCTCAGAAAAAGAAACCCTCATTTGATTATTCTTTCAGCTGGACTAAGGGAGATCACCGTATCCGTGAAATGAATACAGGTATGATGGACGTTAAAGCTACTTTCACTTTTTTCGAACATATTCTTGAAAAAATATCGTGCATTTATATTTTAAGATAAATGTATTTGCATAANGACCTACGCGAATACTCCGAGGCTTAACGCTACCATCACAATGATTAATTATTAACCCGCTTCACTAAATCGCCAGAGATAATATCAACACTCGAAGATAAAATTCGTATACATCCATGGTCATGAAATATCCTCTATATTTTGACTGAATCTTTTATTGCGTAGGTGTATAACTTTATGTTGATGAGCTGGGAACAGTTACATACCTAATAACTTGTAAGAGTTTCAAAACTGATTCACACTTTTGCATAAAATGCCTTTTCCACCAGCTAGAGGCTATAATAGCTACGACCAGCAGTGCACAAGTTGAGTTTACCGAATGATCTCACTTCAAAGGCACATTACCGAATTGAGGTTTTAAGAGGCGTCTATGAGTACACGGCGCTTTTGGTTAATCATGATCTGAATTTCAACTCATTTCCGAAGTCTGCCTTCCCGGCTGGGTGACCATAAATTCGACTTTCAGTATCGATCTAAAAGATTGTGGGAAGATCTCGGTGCGCTCAAAGTTTGACAGTTTGTAAGTCCCACTAATTCTTCAATTTACACGGAATTTCAGGATACTCTTTGATAAAGGTCATATAGGCAAGCATATTCTAGAGTCTATGTTTGTTTCGAGTTTGTTCTTATTGAACTGATTCAGTTAGCGTTCGTACCAAGATCGTAATATCATTTGCTCAGCTTCAAAGTCTCATACTTGCAATGCCTCTTCATCAAGGTTAGGACTGAGAGATAGGGACAGATACCCAACTGTTTATCGAATTGTCGCATACATTCTTCATGATATTTCGTTCGCACGAGGCTTTTTTCCCTCACGATGAACCGGTAAGTCGCTGTTCGCTTTAAAAGTCGCCGATCCTTTCTCTCTGCGTTCGGCTTTTCAGTACTTTACACTTCTCATTTATTTTCGTCATCATCTTTTGCAAAATACCCCATTTTTGCTTTATTGCCGGTAATTGAAATTTCAGTAAAATGTCAGCGCAGAGCGCCAAAGTCAATAAGCTCTTTGTATTTACTGATCAAAATTTCAATTATTATTTGGTGTAATGTTTACCGTAGGAAATTGTTCACCCGTTACGAATAACTTAGACTTGTTTTTCAAGGAAGTAGTCCTGTCATTAAAGCTCTCGGCTGAATTTTGATATTCAAAATTAACTGCTCACAAATTATTACAATGGACTTGGTGAAAACTCTTGATCCACAACAAGCTTTACTAGTCCAACCTTTTCGCTTCTGTGTGGTGGCAGAATTCAAACCTTGACACAAAATTATTGTAATTATATAAAATGAAGTTTCATTGGACATAGGGAATCAAATTTAAAACCTTACCCACCTTACTTAATAAATAAATAAATAAATAATGAATAAATAAATAATGATTTAACAATGGACATCCACTGGGTGGCTATTCTTGTCCACTGTTCCAGATCGAATTGGAATTTGGAATGTTGGTTTTTGCGTTTTTACTTTAAGTTAAGTCTCGATTGTACAACTGCGTTCAGGGTTTTTTTTTTCTTTCCGCATATTCAAAAGCTCAAGTTGAATGTGTTTTTTATTCTTGCAGATTTTATCAGTCAAGAACCAGTATTTTTCAGCTCTCTTCAGAAAACTTGAAGTAAACAAAAGGCACTGTTTTGAACAAGAAAGAAGGCAAAGAAGGACGACAAGCTGTGGCTAAATCAATACAAAGTTAAGTTCGGCAACCTACTTTACAATCAACCCAAAGAACAAAAGATTTCAAGGTCGTGAAATGGCTGTCAACAACTCATCTACACCGCGATGTGATAATGGAGAATGCCAAATGAACGACCTCATAGAGTATTCTATGATAGAAAGAACAGCCATAGTTGCCTCGCACATGCTGATATTTCTACTCGCCATTCCAGCCAATGGAGTCGTTATAACTGTCATATCACGTGTGCAGAACGTGCAAACACCTACGAGTACATTTCTTATGAACTTGTGTATTGCGGATATTTTAATAGCTTCCTTGTATATTCCGTTTGTGACAGTCGATTTGTACGTGGCTGGAAGCTGGATTTTTGGAGATTTCATGTGCAAGTTGGTCTCCTTCTTATATTACTTCGCAACGAATTTTTCCATCCTCATCTTAACAGTCATCTCTGTTGAGAGATATGTTTCCGTCTGTCGGCCAAGACAAATGCGTTTGACGGCAAAGAAAGCATTTGTAACGACAGTTATTTTATGGTTTGTCGCAGGGTTTACTGCTCTGCCGTTGTTTATTGTCAGAAAGTCTATTTTCAATCCGATAGTCAATGTTCACTTTTGCGTGGAGACATGGTCATTTAAATATTCTAAAGCATACAAAACTATCACGTTGGCCATGTTTTATATCATGCCTCTTGTTTTCATGGCCGTGGTTTATTACAAAATAGGGAAAAAAGTCTGGGCAAGTGCCGATAAAACAAAAAGCATGAAACTCTCAACCAGGCATGCTTCGAACTCCAAGCTACGCCTGACGAAAATCGCACTGGGAATTATTTTAAGCTTTGCAGTGTCTTGGACTCCTTTTAACACAATGACCTTACTCTTCTTCTTTGACAGGAAAAATTATCCGTATTCCCAAGAGGCAATGCGTGTAGCTAATCCAATTATATTCTTTGTTGCCTTTTCCAATTGCTCGTTGAACCCGTTGCTTTATTGCTACATGAGTCAAAACTTCAGAAAGGCTTTTCACATATTTTGGAAGCGAAAATCACGCCGTGACCTTTGAGAGTCCATTTCTGTCTTCTCTAGGACAAGCACAAGGCGATTTAGCAGAAGGGGCAAAAGGAGGGCGGAGCAGAGCGTTAAAGAGCCGAACGATGCAGTTTACGCGCACGAAACTCTCCGAACAAAATCGGACAATCACGACTACTTCCCGACAAGTCAGCAACCGGAAATGCATAACACAGTGGAAAGCATTTTAATAACATCGGCAGTGTAGCCTCCACTGAACAAGGTTTCTCATACTGCAGTCCAAAAAAAGAATGAAGTCGCTGTTTCATTCAAATGCAAACAACTCGGAAAAAAGCTGATTATGCGATGTATTTTCTTTTTTTTTGGATCGGTTTTGTTTCGTTATGTCCTCTGTATTTGTCTCGTTTTAAAGGTTTGCTTGTTTGTTTATTTTCTGGATTTTGTATGCATGGCTTGCACGAATTCCAAGTATAAAAGCAAGTCAATGGCATAGAGATATCTAGTTGTCTATTTACTTGTCGCGTAGTTTACTCTGAAATCAGGTTTAATTTTTTTGTTTTTTTTGTTTCAAGTTTGTCACAGACATAGTTGACCAAAACTCTTTATGCCTCTTGCTCGCTTGCCAATAACCTAGTGCTGTACATTGTGCATTGCTAGGGGTGAGCTCGGTTTGCTCGGAGAATTAAACGGACAACCTTTATTTGCCGTAATTTGGCCGTTTATTTTTAATACCAAATCAAATTACAGTAAAACCCGAAATAAAACCTAATACCAGCAAAGGTGAGGGCAAACACCCATCGAATGAGAATTCAACGCACCTATGAGAATGCTCGAAAATAATGGGCGGGTTAATAGGGTGGGAAATGTTTGCCCTGCACCGAAGCTTAACAAAAAGAGGCCCGAAATCACACGTTCGGATGTTTAAGTAACTGCCATTGTAAGTCCCTGATGTAACCCATCCGGGGTAATGATAAAACGCGGCGCAGTTGCATAATATAATTTATTCCCTTTCTAAATGTCATTTACTATCTCGACTAAGGCTTAACCCTGTACACTCTGACACAAGAATTCATATTCTCCGCGCTGTTCTCTTTACATTTTCTCTGGTGCTAACAGACAGAATTTGTGTGTTTGACAATCAGGAGCTTCTAAAACTGATGATTATTTCCTTGCCCTCACTTCCTTTACATTTGATTCAGAGGTGATACTGTTAGGAGCTGGAGAAATAAGGAGCCAGTCACGCGGGTCAAAGGGTTAACACGGCTTCCTTGGTCTGCCGCACGATGAAGACGAACAGCTTGAAGGCTTTAACAATCCTCACTTCTATGGAGCATGGTTTGGCTATATTTAAGAGAGCTTTTTCCATGAAGGATCCTAAAGCCAAACCCGAAGCAATGCCGAAGTATTTGTGTGATTAAGTATAAAAAACACGAGCGTGCTTCAGGTTTTAATTCCCGCTGAGCACGATGTTTACATGTATGCGAACGTGCGAAAGCGTAGCTGAGAGAGAGACTTTCTCTATGGAAAACACTTAAAATACCGGCTGAAAGTTAAAATAATGACTGGTTCATCAGTGTAAAAAATCATTCTATATCGAAAAAAGGGGACTACAGTCCAAACTCCGTAGAAATAAGTGTTGAAAAAAAGTGTTAAAATAACCACAACATTCGGACTAAATAAAAGCTGCCAAAACTTCTTAAAATTCCATGAATGATATGTTATCCTCTCTGTAGAAGAATCTTCGCATCAGACAAAAAAAAAATAGTCCCTCAACTCTAATGGAGGGAGAGGGGGCCTGGACCACTCGTACTCCCTCCTGGATCCACCACGCCTTGTTCCCACTCCCTGGTCCTTTCCTTCCCAATCCACTGCACGAGTTGCTAAGGGACTGGTAATCAATCAATCATTCAATCAAAGTTTAATGTCTTTACGTGGGGCATGGTTACCCATATTGCCCGAGCCAGAGGCTCATGTATGAAACGCAAGACAACAACCCACTCATCCCACCCCAGGGGAGGACATCCATCACACAGTAATCTCGTGCGTAGGAAATTAACGTCTCCTACCCCTAACCCTGCAGGAGACGGGACCTCCATTTAATCGTCCCTATCCGAGAAGACTAGAATATCTAAACCATTTCTTGATGTTATAGAAAGGCAGCATATTCTTCTCGATTATTTTAAGACCTTGAGTGTTGGTCCGGCCGGGCTCGAACCCTCTACCTCCCGTACATCAGTCCAGCGCTCTATCCATCGAGCTAACCAGGAGGCGGTTAACTGGTAATTATTTATCGCCTGAGTAGGGAGGAGGTGGGGTCGGAGAATGTTGGTTGTGTCATAACAAATATTATAATAAAGTTCGGATATAACGCGCGCTGTCATTGGTTGAAAGGGCGTGCTCTGTAAGAGTAGGGAACATGGAGTTGAAGCTGTCACGCCATCTGCCAATTTGTAACATGGCGGAACAAATCCCGAATTTTTCTCTCGGGTTTTTATTCGACCCAGAAGTCTCCTACGACCTGGAGGACGAAAGAGAAAACGAGCTATTAGCGTCGATCGATTTAGAGGATACTGTCAATGACAGTGCGACCTACCCGTTAACTGAAAGTGAGGTTTCCAACGAAGTTAATTATGAAAACAATGAGTGCGGCGGCAACTTAAACAGGCAAAGATTTGAAGACATGTCAAGTGCCGCAATAGACGACATAATTACAAGAGCAGAATCAATGAAAACCAAACAATCCACTAAATGGGCTATCCGAGTTTTTGAAGGTGAGTTTTTTCGTTGCAAAATAGTAAATACGATATGAAAACCTCGAATAGAGTGGACGCACATTTGCTAAATTTTCTTGCCAAAAAAAAAAAGAAAATCAAGGAAAGTGGATAATTTTAAAATTGGCTAGCACGTACACGTTTCTAACGAACAACTATAACTTTCTCTCGAAAATGAACACCAAAATACAAATAATAATCTTTTATTTTTCGTTGCCGTTTTTTAATAGCTTGGTGTAGTGAAAGAAAAGTTGCCAAGAACCGCCACGAAATGAACAACAAAGAGCTTGACCTAAGTCTCCGTTACTTTTACGCAGAAGCACTAACAAAAGATGGCGTATTGTATTCAAGGTCATCCCTTCTTGGATTGCGAAACGCAATTGAAAGATACCTCAACAACCCGCCATTTAACAAAGGAATCTCCATTTAAAAAGGCACAGATTTCCAAGCGTCAAACAATCCCTTTCAGAGTCAGATAAAGCTAAACAAACGCGAGAACAAAGAAAATACAAAACACAAACCTGCAATTCCAGTAGCAGACCTCCAAAAGTTGAAGTCGCCAAATACAATCTGGGGAGACAATCCTTGGGGTCTTCTGCGGAATATCCGGCTTCATATAACCTTGTACTGGTGTCGTCGAGGACGCGAAAGTCTACGACAGTTGACAAAGCAAAGCTTCCAGTTCTTATTACAGAGACGACAACGGACGGGAATATGTTTCAATGACCCATTACGAGGCTACTAAGAACCATCCAGGGGAGATTGAAGACATCAGCAGTGTAGAAAAGGAGGCCAGGATGTATTCAACATCAGAGGATCCACTTTTTGACGGCCTCACCTGCCTCAAGAACTAACTCCAGAAGTTAAATCCTGCCTGCGAAGCACTTTTTCAGTACCCAAAGCGAGCCGTGAAATCTGAAGATAAAGTTTGGTACGACAACAAGCCTCTGGGGGTCAACAAAATTAAAGGAATGATGAAAGAAATCTCTAAACTAGCGTCTCTTTCAAGAATCTACACGAACCATGATGTCAGAGCCACTGCAATCACGCTGTGATCCAACGCGTAAGTTCCATCGCGGCACATAATGGCGATCTCTGGTCATCGCAGTGAGGCTAGCCTTAGGAATTACAACGCTCGTCCATCCAGTGAACAGCTAAGGGCTTGTTCAGATATTCTCTCTGGTGCATTATCGCAGCCAAGTTCCTCTGATGCAGCCACCAGTTCAGAAAATCCTCCCGCTGCAGTAAATTCGACCGATGTTTATTCACAGAACAACACAGCGCAGCAGTTTGTCAAGTTCCATCCACAAGCTTTAAGCAGTTTGTTTTCAAATTGTCACGTTGATAACGTTCAGGTTTCATGGGCCAAAATTCAGCCGGATTTCATTAATCATGTTACTAAAGATACTGGCTTTTGTACGCAAAAAGTGCACGTTTATGCATTCGAATTGTTAAGTAAGATTTGCGATTCTTCGTGACAGCTTTTGCTGGTTTGACATTTTGACAGCTTTAGTCTTGTTCATCCAATCAAATTAGGTTGCCCATTCTAGCAAGGATTCTGATTGGCTTATTGTAAACGTGCTCTGTCAGAGTCTGGAGCATGCTGACGACACTGCTGTTTGCTTTGAAAATAAAGTTTGTTTGAAAATTGCAAGTAACGCGTGGGGAATTTAACGGATTCTTTATTATAAAACAAATAGAGAAGCCTTGACTGTGCTCTATTCTGTAGTAAAGCACTTAGGAAGCGGCTAGACCACTCACGAAGTGGGGAGAAACGCTGGACTACGTCTCGTGTTTTTCCCTACACTTCTCAGTTTCGTGCTCTAGCCGCTTCCTGCGTGCTTTACTACAGAACAGAGCACAATCAAGGCTTCTCTATCTGTTAATTAATTTAGCTAATCCCTCAGCAGTCCGGGCCATAGACAGTTTTCCTATACCATGGATTGGTCTAGACAAAACCAAAGCAAACTGATTTGGCCAAGAGAGGGTTGGAACTATTCTTTTCCTTGCTGTCTCTCTCGTAGAAGTAGTTCTGCGAGAATTTCAGGGAACACACTTCCACTAGCTTTAGCCGCAAGTTGTTTCTTAGCTGAATTTGAAGGGTGCCCCTAGCTTTTTTTATACAAGGACACGCAGTCTTGGTTATCAAGACTTGAACTGGATCCCAAGGGCCACAAATATAAGAGACAAACTAAAACTGACAGACTAAAATGTGAGGCTCGCCTTAGTGACGCCATGTTTCATGACGTCATGGTATAGACAAAACTGTTTATGGCCCGGATTGCTCATAAGGTTCTGTAACCCACACCATCCCCCAACCCCACCCCACCTTATTGGCAGTTTATTGGCAATAAATTTTCAATATAGTTCCTCTTTATACTTGGTTGGCGACTACTGCTCCCTCTTCTGTTCCCTCTGAAAACCATGTGAACACAGTAACGCTCTTTCAAGACATTTCAAAGCATTGGCCTTGACACTTCCCAAACCTCTTTGTGTTGTAAAATTTAACTATGTTGTCTTAAGAGACAAAACGGATATAAGCCTGGCTAGCGCCTATGAAAGAAGGCTTTGATTTGAGTTTTAGTAATTAGAATCTAAAAATAACTGTTGCACGCGACGATACCACGTCTTCGAATACAAAACCTACCTGATATAATCCTTAATTTTCACAATGAAACATGCTATTTCTTGCTTTGATAAACGTAAAAGGAAAAGTTTTACTATCGAAAAGTTCAAAAGCACGCTGTTACGCAATTTCATTGGTAACCATTTCAGGGTTCAGTTAGCGTCAGTGAACTGTAAAGACGCTCAAGTCAGGTGAATAAAACGCCAAAGCATAATCAGCCCTGCTAAAAGAAAGTGACCATCAATGAAATGATCATATCTTTAAGAAAAACCCTTTTCAATGTTTGCTAAGCGTTGAGGAGTTACTTTGAAAGTTTTGAAGGTTACTCAAAATGAAAGGACGCTTAGATCTACAAATGCTTGCTGAATCTCCAGCAATATTCAACTTGCGTTTTCAAGCGCATGAGGCAGAAAACGAGCACACCAAGGCTGACTCGAAGCGGCTTTTCTTGGCTTGTCAATGATTCCTGACTGGAAGTGATTTTTTTGCCTTCTCGCTCGTCTTCCGAAACACATTAACCACAAAGTCTTGTCGAGGCCTTGGGTTAATGTGCGACCTGTGATTTATTTATTTCGCACTTCGGCCGGGACCCTGGAACATTTTAGCTCTTCGCCGCTGTTTTCCTAGCGCTATGGTTGGTTATGTTCTTCTCTGGACAAAGATCTCTAAGTGGTAAGTTCTCTTAGTTTCTCTTTATTTATTATCGTTTCACTGATCAACGGTCAGTTTCTGCCCATGAGTTTTCCCTTGTACCATTACTGACCTAACAGAATATTTTAGAAATTTCCATAGTATAACATGATGAGAAAGTTAAGTATTCTCCATGTCACCCTGACTAGAAATCCTAGAAATTTCCAGAAAGAACTACTTTTCTAAAGTCGCCATCTATGACAATGTGCTTTCTTTGATGTTTTCACTTTTGCATATTTGTCTCAGTTATTCAATAGAATCGTCATTCAACGTTTCAAAACGACCCTCCATTGTCTGTAAACATGACCAGAAGCAAAACAATTTGATTCACTGTTTCTAAGCGATCTAAGAACCAATCTATTCACTTTCAGGTAATTTTCCCGGGGCAATTATCAAAATAAACCAAACAGAACCTCTGTCTCAGCAAATCAGCATTTAGTAATTTTCCCTCTGCGTTATAGTGAGAAAAAAGAAAAACAATGAATTTTCAATTCTCGACGCGTTCTAAAAGTTGAAAATTTCACGTTCCCTTGGCTTTGTGACCTATGTTTTGAGGCTTGAACAAAAATCACCTTTCCGCAAAATTTTCATCCTATTCTGTTCCAAAAGACAAACAAAACAACTCGATTCAAGTTTAGGCTAGATTAGATTACTTGCGCTTGCAATTCGTGCAAAAGTAATTCCAGAAAAATCAGTCTACACTGACCATCATGTTTCGGTTCCCTTGCTTTGTATGAACAGAATTAAAGTTTTAGAGTGTCAGATACAGAATTAAATACTAAGATAAAGGTAAAAAGTATTGTTTTTTAGTAGTCCATGTTCATATTTTTACCTCTTTTTTCCCATCCCACAAGAGTTTGTCTTCCCAAGGAAACAATTATTTTAACTTACTTTCTTTTTCAAATGATTTTTCTTGGTATATGATCAACAACATTCTCGTGATCTGCAAATGTTTTTGAAAGATTTCTGAGTTTCATTCGTCTATGGTTCGCGAAAAAGCCAAAAGCTCTCAAAACATTCCACGTGTCTTTGAGTCACGAAATGCACCCTAGGTGATGGGTCTCCCTTAAATATAATTACAAACCACGCGGTCATTTGTATTTTTGCCTCTGGCTCAAGTTAATTCAACACCTTTGAAACCTCAGTCACGAAATGCAACCACGGTTAGCATTTTCTTAGTTTTCACCAAAAATTTAGTTTCCAAGTTGTTCATTAGGCTAGGTACACAAAGAAAGCTAGCAACCAAAAAATTGACCAAGCTGGACTCAAACTGTAATATGATTCAGTTCCGCTTCGATTCAAAAGTGTCCTCCTTGCATTAGATCACGCACAAAGATTTAGCACGTTGAAATATTTGATTACCTGTTTTTCCATGAAATTAATATTTTAATGGCAGAATAATGGTCTTTTGACCCTTTGTTTTGGCCAATTCAAACAAACTAGATATTTTGGAAAACTGATTCTCATTTTTGCCTCTGTCTTCATTAATTTGCTTTGTATTGTGCACTAACAGAAAAGTGCAATGATATGAAAAACAAGTCTGTCTACGAGACGAATTACCTTGTTACAGAGCTTACCACAATTTACGATTTCCAGACTTTAAGGCTGGAGCGGAGAGGGTCTCTCGCTGACTTTTCATGGTATGCTTCTTCTCGCGTGCTGCAGGCAAGCTTCGGGAAAAACGATAAACAACTTAGTGCTTAGTTTTCCAATTTACTTCTCTGCTCCCTCTATAACAGGTCTAGGGATCATGTAACATGGGTAAGCTCACTTAAAATATCTAGGTTTTTGTAAAATCGAAGTGCTACACAGCCATTCTTAATACCTGCAGAACGCGGCATAGGCACCTCCTTGGCTTTGCCAGATTACACCAGCCCTCCAACCTCTGATTGGAGATTATCCAGGGTGAATTCTAGATATCATTATTTATCCCTGCAGATAAATTATCATCGGTTTAATCATTTCAGGCGAAAATGATGAACGTTCATATCTTGAACCCAAACCATGTGCTTGCTCTTAGGGACAAACTCGAGTGGTAGAATATACGAACTTTTAACAATCGCGTGCCCCTTTTATGAGTTTCTATACACTGTTATGGCTCAAAGATGTACTGACGTACGCACTATAGTCACAGATTGAACATAGTATTGAACGAGATGTACCCAAGAGCAGTAATGAAGAATTTTAGTGCATGCTAAGACCACAAATGTGTTTTATTTTTCCGTAAATCATAAATAGAGTCATCGCTCCCTTCAATTATAATATGAAATGCCCCAATCTGATTTGACAAAGATCGAAGTTTTTACAGACAACGCCAAAAGGCCATTTATCCAGCTCAGTAAAACACCAGGAATGAAATTTACAAAGGTTGAAAAGTCAAGGATAAATGTTGTTTATCAAATGGAGTGAGATTTCTCGAAAGTTGTGAGTCCTCGTGAATTTACTAGTGCAATTCTCCTTCGTTTCCTTAATTGTATTGCTTGAATCTCGAATAGGTGTAAAACAGTAACAAAAAACAGCTTTTTAAACGGTTTAGCCGGAGAATCTTCAAGATACAGACTTAAGACCTTTCACACGCTTAGCCCAGGTGCAAAAGAGGTTGATGTCAAGAAATCGAAACTGCTCCTTTTCGTTTGCCCTTTTTTCTCTGTTCATGACCTTGGACATGTTTGTTTTTGTTGTCATCTTTCTCTCTCTTTAGTTTGGGACCTCTTCGTGATTGATTTTTGTGGGCTATTGTTTGTTTGGTATTTTACTGTTTTGACTGAATAACAAAATGTGACCTGTAAAACAAGGTCCCTCTGGGAAAATTCAGCCACGTGCAGTTAATAATCTACAACGTTCACCTCGTGTACAAGTGGGAAAATTACTGGCTTTTAATCCCAGCAAATTGACAAATGGAGGCCCAATCATTTGACTTTACTAACCGTCCCATCAAATACTAGATGTCGCTCGCCACCTCAAAGTAATGGAAAGGTTGTCGATATATGTGAAGTGAACAAAGAACTGCTCTGTAAACGTTGGATGTTTGGATGTTTGGAAATCTCTCAGTATCTCTTGTCTACCTTATTGGCGCCTTTTACATAATCCATGCCAGTTTTAATCCCAAAGCATACTTGACCTGCCTCTAAGAGAACGAGCTGAAGGTTTAATTACGATTTTTTTTTTCGCTTTTATGATAGTTTGACGTTTTGTTTATTCCCTTGCAACTGATTTTATCTGAAATTGGATCTCTTTCTTGCAAGTCTAACAACTCGTAAATTTGGAGAGAGTTTAACGACAGTCTGCTTTAGAAAAGTTTCTCTCCAATTTTTGGCATTTAAAGTTAATTTCAAACATAAAAGTGGAACGCTGTGTGCTTTTCTGTTGTTTCTACAACTGCAAAAGGGCCCGAATAAACAATATTTTCCATATTTATTTGGTTCTGACATAAATTTGCCATCAACATGTATTAAGGAAATCACTTGCAAGCGGGTCCAAACTTGGACACTACGCACCTCGGAGACTTAGCGAGTAAATTTTTCTTGTGCAGATCTATTACATGAATCTGAAAATATTTCATAAATGAAATAAGGTTTTGACTTCTGCTTTGCTGTGAATAAGATGGCAATCGTGGTTCATTATCACTGTTTGTTGAGCAAACATTTTGACACTTCGGCGGACCTCATGGTTTGTTATGGGTGGGATATGAAAAGCCAAAGTAAACCTCCAGGCATGCAACGAAATTCATCTGCAATTAAAACCTCAAAACTCTCTAGTCACCTATCATAACTCTAAAAAGAAACCATTCTAGCTGGCTCAAGTGAGGCATTTTTTTCACGTGATCTAGACCTTTGTACGGTTTGCATATTGATTTTAAACGGGATTTCTTTAAAAAGGGTTCAGTTACTCTTTTTGTAAAAAGATAAAGAAAAAATTGATATTGTGAAAATCAAATTCCAAAAATGAACTTGAAAGAACATCAAATAACCAATATCACAAAGAAATGATGTTGGTGAGTCTAAGAAGATCTTAGCCTTCCTTTCTCGTGGTGAGATATCAGTTGGTATTTCCATACCAGGAGACAATTGTTAAACAAACACCTTTCCAACAGAAAACATCTGATTAAACCTAACAGCATGTCTAATAAAAGCCACAGATCTTGATGTAGACCCAATCAAATGGAATTTTCAGGTGTTGGGGTTGCAAACCTTTCACTGTCGAAGGTGTAGAGGTTGTCATAAATTGTAACAATTTTATTTTCCTAATTGTTTAGAATAAACATGATTAGATGGCCAGAATCCCAGGAGACACAGATGTTATGGCTGCTTTAAGGTCAGCTATGAAAACCTCGTTCCTACAGGTATTTCATTGTTTCGTTTCCTTTCAAGTTATCTAATGATTCCAAAGTAAACTTCATCTAACCAACTTTTATAGTAATTTACTTAACGACCGGCTTTTGCATTGATTTATGTGATCGCTGCTAAGAACCAGCCTCAAGCATTCAATCACACTGGAAGATAGGCTATTGATATGCATAGCTCTGTAAACCAAGCAGAAGTTACTTAGCAGATTTCCATTACAAAAAAGAGTAGATTTTTTTTCCCTGGAGATTTAAACGAGGTGAGTTTTCTTTTATTTCATTATAGCACGCCAAAGTAGTAGCGACGAGATTAAAAGACAAATTCAAACACAAAGCATTCTGCTATGAAGTGTTAACATCGAAGTCACAATCCAAGTTTCAATGTTGAAGGCCGTTTCCATGGATTTTCTTTCCGTGCAAGCAGTTGGTTATCTTGCCACGAGGCTGTGCAGAGACGCACAAACAAATAGTCATTCCAGCTACTAATAACTTAAAGTTACCAGTCCAAGTAAGAAGGTTGGGCTATTAAGATTAAACAAGAGAAAACAGTTAAATGAAAGATGTGTTTACTTAATGAAAACTATCAAATCCACGTGTTTGGACCCCAAGCAAATTTGACCTAACGCCGGAAGGCGAAGTAGACAGACAGATTACTAAAAAAAAAACGCAAACAAAAGAAATGGCTCGAGATCCAAGCGCACCGTTACAAAATTTCTCGCAATTAAAACGTGATTGTCAGTTTTAGCGATTGCACGAGAAATGCTGTGGCAACCGAACTTGAATTAGATCGTTTCTCATTCATAAAGCTGCGGTATTTAGTCTTTGAACTGTCCTAAATCCGGTGGATCGTGAAGCAAGGTTGGATCTATTGTTCTTGTTTAAACAGCGTTACAAATACACACATGCTTAGCCCCCATTGCTTTGAGAATGCTCGCTTAGTGGCAAAGGATCGCCTAAAACCATTTAAAGAATCTAACTTAATTAGGTGGTTACCCATGCAAATCTGAGATCAGTTCTCTGCCAATCAGAGTCAAGCTCCTTGACCACCCACCAATCAGAGAATACCTACTTTATGCACCTGCTCAGGACCAGCAAACACAAATTTCGCCACAAATTTGCCGTGCAATAAGTCGTCAGCTCAGAAACTCCCGGGGAACAGAAATCGAAATACTCGAGGTGCCTCTCCATAAGATAATTTTCCATCAGAATATCTCTGTTTGGTTTGAAGAATTGCAGAAGTATGGCCGACGCAGACGTCCTTGGAGCGAGGCGAGGAAAATCAGGTTGGATAAATACTGGAATTTACATTAAATTTCATTTCCTGTGGTTTCAAAAATCATCATCGATTATCGATTACAGTTTTATACCAGGTCATATGAAAGGAAAATGTTTAAAGTAACGAAAACGCTTTGCAATGCAATTCGATCAGAGTTGAGTTCAATTACAACGCTAATATTTATTGGATATAATGTACCCGATTTTTATACAGACAGCTGCATTGTTGGGCTACGCCTAATCAAACAAATTGCATTAAGATAGGATGTTTAAGTAAGAATGTTGGAAAAACACCTCGTCTTTAGGGCAAATTGCCCCCCTGAGCAAAGCTAATACACGCAAAACGCGATTAAAAGAGAAGTCGTTTAATTGAGGGCTGCTTACTCGTGTGTACGCGTGCCACAAACAAAGCTAATCTACCGAATAACACAAAGTCGAAAAGTCACATTATTCAGTGTCAGACTACTAACTACTTGACAACTCTTTTTCAGAAGCCAAGCAAACAGTTCTGTGCAAAGTATGCGGAGACAGAGCCTCTGGAAAACATTATGGAGTATTGACATGCGATGGATGTCGCGGATTTTTCAAGCGGAGCATTCGACGGGATCTTGCGTATCAGTGTAAAGAAAATAACTCTTGTCCTATAGATGTGGCCAGACGAAACCAATGCCAGGCTTGCCGGCTAAAAAAATGCTTTGAAGTTCGCATGAACCGGGACGGTAAGCTGAGTTTGTTTTTTTTTTTTTTTTTCGAATTCAGAGTGAATTTTATAAAACTGTTTTACTTTGAAAATGTAAACAGGGGTTATTAGTTGGGCTACAGTAGGAGAATGCGTATTTTAGAATAAAAGCTTTTCAAAGTGAAAGACAATGAGGTAAACTACAAATGTTTCTCGCGCTTTGTTTTCAATCTGCACCCAATACTCTTTTAATAGGCTTTTAATGGAAAATATTTAGCTGTGAAAAGAGCCTCGTTTGCTTCTTCTCGGTGTTTTGTATTAGTGGCTGAGCATACCTGCTGGGACCACCTGTCCTAAAATAAAAGATTTGGGCTCACCCAAAAATGCGTTCCTCACAACAAATTCGCACTCTTGTACAAAACTTCGGGATCTTTTAAGTCTCTACACGGATCAATGAATATGTTAAATTCTGTTTGAAGATCTGTCGATGCGCTTTCAACGATCGCTGTTTACTCAATTTCAACCACCTTCGAGAACTTGCCATGCAGATCAAAATACCTTTTAATTAATTCTGAATGATCAGCGGGGTCTATCTGGTAGTATCAATTTTTTGTATGTTCTGCAAAGAAATTATAACTTTTGTGCGATTTGGGCTCGGTAAAGCCAGCCATGTTGATAACGCGATGGCTTAAATAAAAGCGCTTGCGAAACGTATTTGTTTATTTTGACGATTTCCTCTAACTATACCTGACCTCACAACGGCGTTTCAAGATAACCTTCCAAATTTATACCACATCTCAGAGCAGCTAGAGCAATTGTCCTAAAATTCCTTTAATTATTGTTTACATGTTTTCTTATGGTCGGACCATCCTTTCATTTACAACGAAATTTTCTGCGCACTTCCAAACTTCCGATTCGAATGAAAAGATTTCTTTGCCCATCACCGCAGAGTAATCTATTATTAATTGCGTATACTCAACCCGGCCAAGCCTTACTGTGTGAAGGTATTAAGTCGTATCTACATACTAAGTCGCGAAACTTATTTAGTTCTTTGATCATTTTAGAACAAAAAACAATTGATACACCCAATTGATTTCGAACTATGAAAGCCTTTCTTTAGAAACCTCACCACAGTACTGTATTATGCAAAATTAGCGTTATATAGAATTATGATGATTAATAATTCATTCGAGTGTTTAAAGACCGAAACACGAAACAAACCCAATACAAAATAAAATTACTACTCAATAGATGCTTTTTGGAGCCAAAAGACAGTAGGCGAGCTTTCGTTTTCCGCTTCTGACTATTATCACAGCCAATTATTTTTAAGGTCGAAGAATTCGACTTCCGCTGAATCTTTACTATTGCAAAGCTTGTGCTCTGATTCAACTTGGACAAAGCGTTTCGTATCCGAAGAGAAAATGACTACAGAAGTTTGTTAGTCGCGCGTGAGAAAAATTTCTTCCTGTCTACAGCGCAATATTTATCTATAAAGTTTTCCAAAAGTGAAAAGAAACAGTCATGTGGCCGGTACTGGATCGGAGGTGTCGAAGAGTTTACAGTGAAAGTATTGGATTTCTTCCATTTGGAAGCTAGCCTATCCCGTTTCTTTACCACTGCAATGGAATTTCAAAAACGACGAAAAGTTCGTCAGATATAAACTTGTGTACCAATGCATGCACGATTTGTTCTTGCGACGCACATTGTCCTAGCGCGGTTTGTAAACATCCGTCTCTTTGAAGTGTTTTTTTTTTCTAATTTATAGCTGAAAGTAGTATCGAAGTCACGTTACGAAAAATCACCTTACTTTGGAACGTATCTCAGCGAAACTTCAGTGAGCAAAAATCTTTAACATACGTTAATATTTGGTAGCTAAGTTAGCGTAGGAGAAAGAAGCTAAGGACCCATTATGAGCTTTTCTTTCTTCAAAGATCAACGCTATCCTGTGGAATTCAGAAACGGATTAGGCTAGACAAACAAAATAAATAACATTTCAAAGCTCTCGTTGTCTAATGTGTAGAAGGTCTTCAAAACGAAGGTGTCTACGTCATGCTTAATTAACCAATCAGAGTGAATGGAATCCTGATCTCCATGAACGGCAGCTGAAAGTTCTGTCGACTGCTTTTGACATCAAGAGTGATTGGAGAGCCCCTGGGGCTCAGTTACATGAAACGGGTTCACGGTTCACTATTGTGACGTAACACATTCTACTGTCATTGATAAGCAATTGGAGAGCATTTGTGACCACCTAAATTAAATTATCATTGCAAAGCGTAACTCTCAGTTAACAGGTCATTAGTTTTGTGAAAAGGCATCTATAGTAGTTATATTGTATCATGTCACTTTTGGTGCGTTCCAAATACTGAATTTTTTTTTTTTTTTTTTTAACTTCAATAATTGCATGCTGTGTCAATTTTCACCATCCTCGGAAACACCCTGCTCGCGCTCCAGCTTTTGTTTCTCCTGACCTCGCAAATGAATGGCTCTTCCAACAAATTATCACTTTAAGGTTTAATTCCTTAAAATAATTATGAGTAACTTAAAGTATTTACTTACTTCAGTTTCATTCGGTAAAATCACATCAAGGCTTGTCAGACATTTTGGCCATTACCACCAGACTGGAAGAGGAAAATGAACTCTTGAGATTGAATCACGCACCTGGTTTTGTTGAAACAGAATGTAGCTCCAAAAGCTTGTGCATTTGGAAAATTCAATACAAGTGTTGATGAATAGGAAATCTCTCCATGAAAAATGAACTTGCAATCTATCCGACCCAAAACATAACATCTCTACGCGTTATCGAGTAACATTAGAAGAGGGAGATCTTTGTGGCCAAAACAGAAAACAAATGGCGCTTAAATACTTAGCAAAGTTTAAACCTAAAACAAATAGGATGTTTTGACTCGGCAAAGCTAAAAGGCTAATTAGGTTTAGCACAGAAAAGTGTTTTGCAAAACTAACACAGTCAAACAAAATGAGATTAAGCAAACGGCGTTCTTAGATTTTTACAACTCTTAAAAGTCAACTCTCTTTCCAGAGGCTCTAAGATAGTTTATTTCCAGGGATCCCAAATTTAAATATCAGCGTGCGTCTTGCCATGGTAAATAATGGGCGCAATTTCAATCATTTTCTATCAATTTAAGCTTTTCTTTAAGCTTTTATTTTCAATTAGGTGTATCTCGCATGCTATCTTATGACCTCATGTTATGATTGGTTTTCAGCGGTGCAACATGAACGTGCTCCGCGCACGAATCAGTTCAAACAGGCTTCAAACGAAGAAATCCGATGCAAGCCTCTGAAGAGAAAACATAACAGCTACGAGCAGGAAAACATGGATCTCCCACCAGGCCAAATTCACGTCACTCCAAAGAAAGAAAAACTTCTGGACTCTCCTGTGACTCCGGAACCTATATTCTACAGGAACAGCCCTCCCAGATATTCTATGGAACATAAGAGCCTCTTCCTTGTGGGTTATTCTAAAGCCGAGAGCCCAAAAGACGTCCCAGTGGCTGTTTCTGTGCCAACCGCGACCGCAATGACACCTCCGCACACGCCCCAGCATGGACAACAGGTACCCTATTCAATCATGTACTTCAGCTCACCGGAAATGCTGCACGAGTCCGCTGTGCGGATTCTGTTTATGACCGTTAAATGGGTTCGTAACATTCCAACATTCTTTGATCTTCCATTTCGCGATCAGGCGATCTTATTAGAGGAGGGCTGGAGCGAGCTTTTCATCCTCAGTGTGGCGCAATGGAACTTACCCGTGGAGATAGGAACTTTGCTGGCGGCTGCGGGATTGAACCCGGAACGGGATAACTCAGACAAATCAGTCTGCGGGACGGGTGAGATCAAGGCAATGAAAAATATTGTGGAAAGGTTTAAAGCTGCGAATATCGATCAGACCGAATATGCCTGCTTGAAAGCCATTCTCCTTTTCAAACCAGGTATGTTATAATTTTGTTACTTCATAGTTGTCCCAAAGATAAAAATCAACAAATTTTTTTTTTTTTTGCTTATTTTTTCCGGACTGTTTTGATAGGCTTTGAAAAATCGCCCTTTAGCAATGTTTTGTCCTTAATATTCAGAAAGCTTAATTTTTAAAATCTCTCTGTCACGCCATTGCCTAAATTATAAGGAAGAGTTTGACCGATAAATCAGGAGTTCATAGACAAGATTAAACGTGTTTCAAATGACCAAACGTAAAAAAATTTTGGCTCTGTTTGCGGAGATGGAAAAGTGACCGTGTGATGTAAGTGAGAGTAGTCCTGGGACGGACTGTTGTAGTTTGCAGTGACAACATGAGCGCAAGTCATTAACATTTCTTTTAAAACCACTTCCCTTTATAAGTACAGAGAAATCATGTTGCTCGATCAGTGCTATGAAAGGAATGTGGAAATCGAAGTAATTAATCACTTTTATCAATATTTGAGCTTATTTCTTTATTCTTGTTGTCACAGATATTAGAGGACTGAGAGCCCCAGGTCACGTTGAGCAACTTCAAGATCAAGCGCAAGGCATGCTGGGAGAATATGACCGCCAAACGTATCCAAACCAGCAAGTCCGCTTCGGACGACTACTCCTCATCCTTCCCGGTCTGCGAGTGCTGTCTGCAAAATGCATTGAGCAGATGTTTTTTCGGGGTACGCTTGACAATATCCCAATGGAAAGGCTCTTGTCAGACATGTTTAAGTCTGCATAATTCGTCTTCTAAACTTGGTTTTGCCAGACTTTACGCCCGAACGAGTAAACTCGCCTAAAAAACGGCGGTAAACTAAACGGAAACGCGAAAAATGACAAGCTTGCGAGGTAAGCGACGAATGTGTGAGGATTAAAATCAGCGTTGACGGTAAAACATGTGATCGATGATCTTCGTAGAAGTGTGCGTGGACAACCGAAGACGCTCCGAGGGTGATTAATTAAGTATTGCAGGCAACGTCTGGTTCGGATGTATTCCGATTGGAAACATTGCTTTTATTACGGATTGATGTGAAAAAGAATAGATAAAAGCACTACGTTGTCAGCTTCTAATCAAGTACAACAAACAGTGACTTTCAACAAGAGAACATCATTTCATGTTCTCTTACTTTCGATTTGAAAACCTAAATATTTTATCCTAATTCTAGCTTCTGTTCCTAGCCGCGTTGCTGAATCTACTGATTATTTCATCAAATCTCTTAGCCGTGCTTCGAGAAGAATTTTTTTCTCCTTTCTGAACATCACAAAAATTCTGAAATCAATTCAATTAATTTTTCCTTTTATCAAATTCTTTCTTGCATTAGCTTAAATATCTTTTTTATTGTAACCATCTTTCGTTTAGCTTAATTTTCTTTCGTTTCTACAGTTTTTTACTTCTTCTTAATATTTCAAATTGTTCTTCTCTCAGCCGGATTAGTCAGAATTTTATATCTAAGTTTTTGCACTTTGCCATTTATAAGAAAAATAATTACACAAATAACTAAAGTTTTGGATTTTTTTTTTTTGTTGTTTTACATATTAGCAAAACAATGTGCAATAGTGATATTCTCAGACTTAAAATTTTAATACAAAGAACGAAAAGTCAGAGCCCGAAGCAATTCCTGTAAACTGTCAATTAACTTGAAAAACGCGTTTCACATAAACAGTGTGGTATCTTGAAAACGAGGTTCATATCGCTAATTTCGCAAGATTTAGATAGCCTACCGCATGAGAGTCGCTGAAAAGAAAATCTCTGGAAGCGAAAATATGCAATGTATGCAGCTCTAAATATGTAAATATTAATTAAGAATAATCTGTTAATAAAGATCCTATAAGTGGTTTACACGTTACTTCATGGCCGCCATGTTGGTGGACGTAAACAAAGGATATCTCATTAGCTTCTTTCGTTCGTCCACCAGGATTTGTTCCTTTCACCATTGTTACTTGTGTCTCTAGAGATTGGTTGTAAACCACCTATACCATAAAGGAAAAGGAATAGTTAAATTTTATTTACATTACGGTTGATCGTGGTTGCTATAAAGAACAAAATAATTACAAGTTAGTACAAAATACAAGAAGAAGCCGGAGTAAAAAACGCAAAAAAAAAGAGGAAATAAGATCGGACAGGGAAAGACACTTACAAACGTTGTATGACTTGTGAACGCGAAGGACGGAAAACTCAGAGATGGGCGCATTGAAAGGAACGATGTTAAACTTAACGGACTCTGATACCCCAACGTTCAATTTTACCGAGAAACTTCGGATTATGCTCCATATACCAATTCCCGAGTTACGTCACAAACAAGACAATGGAGATTTGATGTACGTCACAAAAAAAACAATGGAGATTCGATGTATAAATAAACAACGCACCAAATAAATGTTGACTTTCTCTTCTTCTGGGACACTTGGGACAACTGGGACAACCGGGACAACTGGGAAACTTGGGACAGCTTGGACAGCTGGGACAACTGGGACAACGGGGACAACTGGGACCTGAACTGGGACACTTGGGACAACGGGGACAACTGGGACAGCTGGGACAACTGGGACAACTGAGACCTGTGGGACCTGCACTGGGATACTTGGGACAACTAGGACAGCTGGGACAACTGGGACATTCGGGACAACCGGTACACTTTGCTGCTGTTACATGAATCGAAATTGCGTGCCGCTGGATTTTAAAACCGTGGACTCGTTCGTCACTTCAAAATGGATTCAAGCTGTCCGTCAAGCTTGGTTTACGTTTATATCCTAAATTTTGCTTTCTTGCCGTGTTTTTCCCCATTCTGCGAAAGTAACGACGCGTTATCAGAAGCTGAGGTAAAGTTTATCGACGAAACTATCCTTTCTTATGAAACAAGTAGCCGAAAAACTGGTCAACGAGCACTTTGTCCAGCTCCTACTCCATCTGATGGCCTGGGAAATTTCTGTTTGCGCTCACTGATATTGTGGGATCCCCTGAGACAGTTCAGCTGTGGAGAACAACGAATTGTCTGCACTCTTTGCCAATCAAAACTTCGTCCATGGAGATGGAAAAATGGACACCAGAGAAGAGATAGGCCAAGGAACTTGTATTGCATCCAGAATGAAGTTCTGCTCGTTTCCTGTATATAACTTTGCGAAGGTTCACACCACGAGGTAATCGCTCACGATCCCACAATTAATTTGGAATTGAAAAAGATCGGCATTAAACTACCTTTTGTTTTATTTCACAATTCTGGTGTCACGGACGATCTCTATGAATATGTTTCGATTAGTATGCAAAGTGGTATTGGCATCTCAGATATAGAACGACTATTGTCCTATTGTCCAATTGTCCTAGCTGTCCCAGTTGTCCCAGTTGCCCCAATTGCCCCAGTTGCCTCAGTTGTCCCAGTTGTCCCAGTTGTCCCAGTTGTCCCAGTTGTCCCAGTTGTCCCAGTTGTCCCAGTTGTCCCAGTTGTCCCAGTTGTCTCAGTTGTCCCGGTTGTCCCGGTTGTCCCAGTTGTCCCAGTTGTCCCGGTTGTCCCGGTTGTCCCAGTTGTCCCAGTTGTCCCAATTGTACCAGCTGTCCCAGCTGTCCCAAGTTTCCCAGTCGTCCCGGTTGTCCCAGTTGTCGCAAGTGTCCCAGAAGAAGAGAAAGTCAACATTTATTTGATGCATTGTTTAATTATACATCAAATCTCCATTGTTTTGTTTGTGACGTACATCAAATCTCCATTGTCTTGTTTGTGACGTAACTCGGGAATTGGTATATGGAGCATAATCCGAAAGAATGCAAACCACCGTGAGTGAAAGAATGCGAAAACAATAAGAAAAAATTGTGTGCAAAAACACAAAAATGTAATTAGGAAAGTAAAAAACAAAAAAGAAGAAATTGCCAAGTGGGATTGCCGCAGTGACACGGTTAATTACAGATAGATAGATAGATAGATAGATAGATAGATAGATAGATAGAAACTTTATTAACGTGTCAAAGAACCTTCTAGTTTGGGAGATATCCCATACTAACATGGGGACACAAATAAAATGGATAAAAATTATCTACAAAGAATATTACCTACTTAAGTAGCGTATTTATTTCTACACATAGAGGAAAACTACAGCGGTTATAAAAAATCGAAAGTTGTTTAGCGTGGCCTGTACTCTAATCGACAACGATTTTCGTCATCACAATGGTCAAAATGTTGAAAGCTCACGGGGCGCAGCAATAATATCGACGTTAGATAAAACAATTCCCTCCGTGTCTGACCATTGCGTGACACGTTGACGCGAGCAGCATTGTCTTTACACTTAGCGACAACAGCAAATTAGCCAATCAGATTGCGACATTACTGTTAATTGTGGTAAAAACTGAATTAGGGATGTTGAAGAGGTTATCAAGCGTGAAGTTTTCATTACAGTTGGAGCTGAAAGCTATTCGATGTGGCTTCTGTATTCTTCTTATGGAGGGAAACTGCAACGCTAAAAGTTGGTAGGGAAGTTTGTCAATGTTTTATTGTATCATACTTAGGTAAATGGCAAACGTGCAAACGAGAATCTCCTAAAACAAGGAAGCTATAGAAAATATTCAAGTTATAATGGCGTGTCAAATTGGCGTTGATTCTCTAAGCGCTGATCAGCAGCCCGGGAAGATTATTGATGACTAAGTTTCTGGCAATGAAGTAAGGAGAAACAAGTAATATACCAAGAAAGGCAGTTGTTCTGATAACCAACTAAATAATAACATAGCCCTAAATATTAATTTTCTGAAGCTCAGTAAGTGTCATCAAATAATAATTTGGACTCTGACAGTGCCTCCTGCGCCAACCTCGTTCCCAGGCCCCAGGGTCTCTCATCTTCCCGCCCCCTGGAGCGAGAGGGGGCGGGAAGATGAGAGACCCTGGGGCCTGGGAACGAGGTTGCCTTTTGCGCCTGTGGGTCCCTGGGTAGTTGATTTAAAAGACCTAGGGACAGCCGTAAGACGTGAATGAATATGTAAATGACAACAACTCAAAGATATATAGCCTACCGCTAATGAATTGTATCACCATACCATGTAACACCCCAGAGAAAGGATTGTATAACAAATGTTAAATAAACGAGTAAAAAAATTCAAAGGGAGGAGGTTAGGGAGTATCAAAAATAGATCATTGTTTCATTTAAGAATCACATTTACGTATAAGACGTTTACGCTTTAGTAATGCTCAATCCATGGTATTGATGATCATTAAATGCTCCAGAATGTTTCCTTTCCACAATTATATATATATATATATATTTGTACGGAGACATCAGAACTTATCCGATGAGTTCCGGTGAGTTCCGATGAGTTCCAGTGAGTTTCGATGAGCTCCGATGAGTTCCGGTGAGCTCCGATGAGTTCCAGTGAGCTCCAGTGAGTTCCGGTGAGCCACGATGGCGCTGTTTAGCCAGAATGTAACTCAGTTTTTTTAAGATTGAGCTGTAAGAGGTTCCTTATGTGGGACCAGGTATATTTTATTGTAACAAACTTTCCTCAACCTCCTCTGGCGACCAGCGACCAGTCCTTGTATAACATTTTGACTTTTCTTACACTCCGATTCAATTAATTTGAATGTTGCCGAGTTTATACATAGCCCATAGATTATTTGCGCACACCATTATCATATTGATTTCACAATCAAAAATTCTTTGAGACAAAATTATTGGCAACAGGTGTTGTACGAGTCAAAAGAGATGATTATATCTAATTACTGTTAATTACTTTTTATTAAGGTTATGTAAATTTTTAGGCGACGTAAATGCTAATTAATTTTTTCAAACTATTGGAACTCAAGTTATTGGTCACGTAGAATACGGACCGAATTGTGCAATCGATGTTGAAAATTACCTTATAGAGACATAGACTAGAAAAAATTTCAGCATACAGGTTGCTGCCTTAAATTCATTTTATTAACTCGCACAAATGTACGAGATCTTCCACCTGTGTTTTAAATAAATGTTTGTAGAAACATTTAAAGTTAAACTTTCTCGCACTTAAAAAAAATTCGTCGGGCTGAAGCATTTACAGCAATTTTTCACGATACGCAAAATTTATGAAAGTTATTTTATTCAAATTTAACATGAATTTCATTCTTAAGGCAACAAAAAAAGGAGGTATGATAAGCTTTAACTACAGATACTAAAGTATTGAGAAATTTCCCCCTGGCGAGATAAAAGAATATAGTATTTATACAAACAGAGTTTAATGGACTGATTGACTCCGTAAGAATATTATAAAACCAAACGGGATATTTATAAAGTTCGGGTAATATTTGCGATAGCACAATGCTACAATCTTACACACACTAAGACCATTGAAAGCGTTACCGTAATTTTAGTCGCTCTTACGTAGTAATGATCGCTTTGGCCGTTGGTCACTCAGTAAAACGTGTACATTGGTCTAAACACATCTTCCCAGAGTTGCAGAGCAATTTCTGCATCAATCGTCTGCCATTCCACTTCGGACTCAAATTTCCGGAACCCCTGAGGACACTTGACTTGCAATTCCTTTAATCTCTTTTTCGCTTTCATCGACGCAGCGGAACCGCCATCGTTGTTGCTTTCAGTCGCAAAATCGTCGTCTCTAACTTCATTTTGATTTTGAACGAGACGATCTTGTCGGCGCCGTTTCTTCGGATCTTTTGTTTGTTCACCAAACGAATTTCCAAGACTGACCCTTGCCTCTTTTCGTTTTGTTAGCTTTGCTCCCATGTCTGACCGTAAAATGGTAAATGCGAACCCCTCGTGACGACTAAAAGATCAGCGCTAGTTTTGGTAGAGATATCAAACACTTAATTGATTTTATTACAATATGGTTTGTGATTGGTTAAGAAAAACTCGTTGCATCTTAGTC